TTGCTACTTGTTTATATTTCCTAATTACTAATTTTTACACCATCTACTTTGATATTCTTAATAAGTCAAACTACTCGTTTATTTTCCTATCGAATTCGACGTATAAAGCAAAATAAAAAGATAGAAGCGAGCATCAAGCAATCCGCCTCCGAGATATTATGGAAAGTGCCAGCCTGTTGGTTCTCAGAGAGAGAAAGAGAGAAAGAGAAAGGACGATGATAGAGAGAGGGAGAGTATAGAGAGATATATAGATAGATAGATGTAGTAGAGAGAGAGAGAGAGAGAGAGAGAGAGAGAGAGAGAGAGAGAGAGGAGAGAGGAGAGAGAGAGAGAGAGAGAGAGAGAGCAGAGTGAGCGCTGCTAATGGCTCGCCCAGATTGGCACAGACTTGCCCACGTGACATTAATGAACCAACCATTATACCCAAGCCCCCCCCCCCCCCCCCCAAAACCTTTAGGACCAACCCTTAGAACCCTTAGGTAGGTCTAGTCTATTTCTTTGCCTATGGACCATAATTTAGGAAATTATAAATATATAAATTAAATAAATAAATAAAAAAATAAATTAGGAAAGAATGTTGTGTTTTTTTTTTTTTGTTTTTTTTTTAGTTTTTAAATCGATAGGGATATCTTTGCTACATCATCCTACCGTGTCTTTGCGTGTCAGAAATAGAATACCAGCTATTTTTGTATCTATTTCCCTTGTTCAGCGGTGTTGTGACGCTCTTCCCCGTCCGCTTAAACAAGGTTTGTTAAGCGATCTAGGTGTCGAAAGGTTAACACTCGGCCGAGACACTAGGCGAAGGTGCCAAGAAGGGGCTGGTTCCTCCTCTGAAACTTTCTGGGTCTTTCTGGCGCGTCCTTCATCGCTCCCGCTCGACTGCCTTTGCAAACGCGCCCCTACGCCCTTCTTCGTCCTTCGCGCCGCCCACGTTGTCCCTCGAGGAAAGCTATTCGACTTTTATTATTTTGGTAACGCGGGGAGCCTCTCTCTCTCGCTGCCCTCGCTTTATTGCCGGCGCGGGCGCGGTCCCTCTTCTCCGTTCTCCGCACGCCCAATTTAGCCTTTTATTCTTCCCTTCCTCTTTAGCGTCCTCTTCCCTTCCCTCCTTCTCCACGCGCGGACTTATCTCCCCGCTGCCCACTTCTGCGCCCTTCCCCTCTCTCCTCGTCCCCTCGCTCCTTCGTCTCGCTTCCCCTCGCTCGGTCTCTCCTCGGGCTCGCTTTCCCCTTCCCGCCACTACGTTTCTCCTCGCTTCCCTCGCGCTCGCCTCTCCTTCGAGCTTCCCTCGCATCGCCTCTCCTCGCATCGCCCTCTTCCCGTTCAGCCAGCCTTCACTACTCCCTCCCGGTCTTCGCCCATTCCCCTCCGCTACTAGTTACATCTCTTCGCTCGCTTCGCCCTGGAACCATCTGTCTTTTTCTATCCTCGTTCTCTCCTCGACTATGTACACCCTCGTCCTCGCCCTCCCTCGCCACTCGCTTCCCCTACGCTTCCCCATGGCTCGTCTCTCCTCGCCTCTCCTACTCGCTTCCCCTCGGTTGCCAGCCTCTCTCCTCGCTTCCCTCGCTTCCCTGGCTTCGCCTTCCCCTCACTCGCCTCGCCTGCCCCCCTTCCGCAAAAAAGTCGAAACAAATTGTATTCCTTGACATACTCACCCTTTTCACCTGCTCCTCTCTTCCCCTCGCGGGCATTTTCCCCTCGGGATCTTGGAGCCCTTAGAGCTCCTTCCAGCCACGTTGCGACGCGTCTCCCTTATTGGTGACCTTCCCCTCACTTACAGACTCCTCACTTGGCCCTCTTTTTTCATTTCTCTTTACTTTATGCCTTGGGGTCTCTCGGCGGGATGTTCACGAGGTTCTAGAGAGACTTATTTTTAATTTTCTTTATTTTTTTTTTATTTTTATTTTTATTTTTTTGAGGGGATTTTTTTTTTTTTTTTTTTTTTTTTTTTTTTTTTTTTTTTTTTTTTACAGTTGATGAATGGCTTAATAAGCTGTGTATAACGATCCTCTAAATTATTTCTAAAATTAGGCTGAGTTACTTCGGCTGTTTGTCTCGGCGCTAAGAGTTACCTGCAGTTTTTCTAGCGATATGTATTGTCAGCTGACATTGGCACCCACGTAATCTGTTGCATTTTATCATCGTTTGACATTGACGAGGAATGAAGAAAGAAAGTCTTGTTTTCTTTTTCTCTTCATTTTGGGTATTTATCAGTTTTTTTTTATTCCTTTCGTTGCTTTTTTTTTTTAATTCATCTCACTTTTTTTTCATTATTTTTTG